GTACCATTCTTTTTCTTTGCCTAGGAAGTCGAGAACTTTCACATTTTCCATTACAGGAAGCACTTTATAGCTTCTCTTTGGCATTCCTGAATTGCCAACATCACTACCCTTGGGTTTTGGGGTCATTAGGAAGCCAAATAAGGGTGATGTGAACACGAGTACTATGATACTACAACAGTCAGTCTGGTCGCTGAGATGGCTAACTGACTATAAAGGTCAGATAGCATACACAGCAGGGATACCCTGGACAAAGGGATGAGTCACATCTGGGTGGCATGGAGCAGGACAGTGAGAGAGTTCATTATGCTCAGAACAGGGTGCAATTTTAAAATGTATGAATTGTTTATTTCTGGAATTTTCCATTTAATATTTTTGAATGGTAGTTGCCTCAGGTAACCAAAACCATGAAAAGTAAAACCTAGGATAAAGGGGGAGTGCTCTCCATATATCTACATCTATATCTATCTCCTACTGTTTTTGTTTCCCTGGAGAACCCTAATATACCACGTGTTATTATTTTATTTTTACTAGATTTTTGTAAATGGCTTAGACCCATTAAAAATGGATTTTAGAAAAAGTTAAGGCCTATGCTCTGAGCTCCCTGGCAGCTAAGTAAAAAAGGTACACATAATGAGCTGCCTACTTCTCATTAGCTTATGGATCATATAAAGAAAAATGTGCTAAAATAACACAAGGACAACTAGATGGATCTCAACCGGCTGGGGACGTCCCCTAAAGGATGCTGATTGTCATCTCTGTCACATCACCTGGATAGGAGCTCCCTGTGGCTGCTTCCCTCCAGCACGGGTGAGGAAGGTGTGGCAGGCATGTCACTCTGGCCTGTGGGTGACCAGCCACTGGGAGGAGCAGGCAGACAACTGCATGACAGAATAATGATGAAAAATGGTCTTGACAGCCCAGAGCAATGAGCTGGATCTAACAAGATGAAATTAAACAAGGACAAATGTTAAGTGCTTTTCTTAGGTCAGGAAAAAAAAAAAAAACCAATGGCACAAACCCAAGATGGAGGAGAGATGGCCCACCAGCAGATACTTAAAACAAAAACAAAAAAACACACTTTAGGGTTTTTAAGATGAAAATATGCCACTAAACAAACAAACAAAAAAAGTTTTTTAGTGTAATTTTGTCTCCTGAACAAGGGATATAATTGCCCCACTATACTTAGAGATTACTAGTCTATATTTGAAATTAGGTTCTGAGCACCCTACTTTATTTCTATGGAAGATAGCATATGCCAACATGAAAAATATTCTTTGAAAAGGCAAAGTAATCATCAATCAGCTCCTCTTCCTAACTCAGCTATTTCCATTGCCTGTATATACACAGATATATTTTGTATCACAACCAAGCACCTACACCAGGAATATAATGGAGACAAGCTTAACACCATAATGCTAATAAGTGCTATAAATTGGTGCACTTTGCTTTTTCAAATTTAATTTTTTTAAACACTGTCCTTTACACGGAATTTTTCATGTTGCATGCTGCACTTTGAAATGAATATACAGTCTAAAATAGAACAAGCATATACAAACTGGAGTGAAATTAGAAAAGGGTGACCAGAGTGGTTATGGACTCCCAAACCAGGCATCTCTCAAGAGTAGTCAAATAGACAGGGAGTTTCATCTTGAAAAAAAAAGGTTCCTGATCATTTCCTCAAGCATCTGAAAGGTTAACAACAAAAGATTAGACTTGGCTAAGGTAAACTTAAGGGTTATAAAAAGAATAGCATTTGTAAAATCTTCAGAGTTTTTAACTCGCCTCCTCTTTAAAAACATCTTTTCCCTTCCTAACAGGCATGGAAAGTATTGACTTGTTAATTCATAATAGTTCTATTTTTACAAGTAAGGAAATTTTGAATTAAAGATGTAAAATTATTTGAGCAAGACCATATCACCAGTATGTGGCAGGGCTGAGACACAACCAAAGTACTCAAGCTATAGTGACTTCAAATTCAGTATTAAAAGAAAATAAGTCTTCCTGTGAGTAAGATGTATGCAAAGACAAAGAAAATGCCTCCAGATTTCCCCGCAGACAGTGCCTATTAATGACGCAATGCAAGAAAAGTATTTAAGATTTAGCCCAGGCAGTGGCTTTCAAACTTTCAACCACAACGAGAGCAGAAAATATGTTTTGTATAACAACCAAGTGCACCCACACCAGGAATAAAATGGAAACAAGTTTAACACAATAATACTAAATAAGTGCTACAAATGGCGCACTTTTTTTTATATTTAATTTTTTTTACATCCTGGCCTTTAACCACTAAATTGATTTCATTTCCCTTGCCATATCATGCAGATTGAAAAACACTGGACTAGAGAACTACTTAGTGGGACTGCTTGGGTGGGCTAGAAGACCAAAAATTCCTTCCAATAATGAGATTTAATAATCCTGGGTCTCCAACTTAAAAAAAAAAAAAAAAAACCTAAATCAAAATGTTTTTTATTTTCAGGTTTTTGCTTTCATTCTCTTATTCTAACTTACTGGAATTTTTTCACTTTTGATTCTATTACTCCTAGTATTATCTGTCCTTACCCGTACCATATCATGTGAAAACTCTTTCATTCCTTTACCTGAGAAATGGATAAAAATACATTAAACGACATAGAACTAAGTATAAGAAGTTGTGGCACATTTTAAGCAGTTTTCTATATAGCTGCGCTTGTATACGTACATTACATTTTCTTTTCCAAGCAATCAGTGACAAATCCTCCAATCACACCACTAACTGTTTTATTTTTGTTCACAGAGCTGAGAGACTTTGTCCAATGTGTTGTTCAGATGAAGAGACCATGCTGTGACACAAAGTGGTCAGTTCTGAGGATTAAATGAGACAGTTTATGTTGAGAGCTGGCAAAAGGAAACTGCTCAATAGTCGTTAGCCAGGATGATGTTGATGGTGGCATCCGTGATGACGATGTTACTTACGATTATGAGATTCTACTAGCTTAGTAGTCTAGAAATTATGCTAATTAAAATATTCTGTGGTCTTCACATGCCTTCTTCAAATGAACCTACACTGATGAAAAGTCCTAAAAATTACGGTTTCTTCTAAGTCTTTTTTCTAAATCCTTTGAGTATTTCAAGGTTACTGGCTTGTTGTTTTCCTACTTTTTTTTCCTTTCTAAAACCAGAACATTTGCTCACTTCTCATATTCTTCAGTGTCTCACAGGCTCCTAACAGAGTTTCCTGTGTTGTCACCTGCAAGTTGTTTTGAACATCAGAATGTAACTCAACGCTCCTGGCGACTGATATTAACTTAGAAGAGTTTGGTGGATTTCATTTCTCCCCTAGAAATGTTCCCAGCTTGGAGATGATTATTTTTGAAAAATAAAGAAAATAAGACCTGAGCAACTCAGTCTTCGTGTCATCTGTTAACATCATGCTATCCTCATTCATAAGTGGGCTTGTTCCTCTGTGGTCACTCTATTCTGAAAAGCCTTAGCACATTCGGGGGTTCAGGCTTCTTTCAAAAAATGTGTTATGTTTGAATTTTTAATTGGCAAATAATAATTGTATAGGTTATATATTTTTATGGGATGCAATGTGATGTTTGGATATATGTTTACATTGTGGAATGATTAAATCAAACTTATTAACAAATCTACCACCTCACAGAGTTATGTTTTTTGTGGCAAAAACATTTAAAATCTACTCATAGCAATTTTGAAATAGACAATGCATTATCACTTATTATAGCCACCATTCTGTGCAACAGATCACTATAGCTTATTTCTCTTAACAGAAATTTTGTATCTTTGGGTCAACATCTTCCCATTTCCACCCACCCCTCCCCCAGTCTCATTCTGATCTCTCCTTCTGTGAGTTCAACTCTTTTAGATTCCACATATAAGTGAGAACATGCAGTATGGCTTATTTTATTGCACCCAAATTATTTTACTTGCCATAATGTCATCCAAATTCACCCATGTTGTCACAGATGACAGAATTTCCTTCTAAGGCTGGATAGTATTCCAACGTGTATGCATACCATATTTTCTTTATCCATTCATCTGCTGATGGACACCTTCCATACCTTGGCTAGTTTCCTTCCATACCTTGGCTACTGTGAATAACATTGCAGCGAATATGGGATTGCAGACAGCTCTTCAGCACACCGTCCTTAATTGTTTTTGATATTTACTCAGAGTGGGATTACTAGATCATACGGTAATTCTAGTTTTAGTTTTCTGAGAAACCTCTATCCTGTTTTCCACAATGGCTGTATTAATTTACATTCCCACCAAAAGTGCACAAGATTTCCCTTTCCTCCATATGCTCGCCAACACTTGTCTTACTTCTTTTTGATAATCATAATTCTAACAGGCGTGAGGTGAAATCTCATTGTGGTTTCAATTTTCATTTCTGTGATAATTAGTGATGATGGGCACGATAAGAATGCTTTCTCTTGGTCATTTGTATATCGTCCTTTGAGAAATGTCTGTTTAGGTCCTTTGCTCATTTTTGTAATTGGATTCTTTGTGTTCTTTCTATTAAACTGAGTTCATTATATATTTCGGATATTAGCCCCTTACAAATGTATGGCTTGTAAGTATTCTCTCCTAATCCATGGGATATATCCTTACTTTATTATTTCCTTTGCTGTTCAGAAGCTTTTTAGTTTGATTTAATCTTATTTGGTTATTTTTGCTTTGTTGCCTGTGCTTTTGAGGTTATATCTAAGAAATCTTTTCCCAAACCAATCTCATGGAGTTTTTCTCTATGTTGCTTTTTTTCTAGTAGTTTTTACACTTCTAGTCAAGCTGATAAATAAATTTAGTAAAGTTGCAGAATACAAAAGCAACACACAAAAATCAGTAGCATTTCTTTACATTAATAACAGACTATCTGAAAAAGAAGTTAAGAAGTCAATCCCATTCATAATAGCATTCAAACAAAATCTCAGTAGTAAATTTAACCAAGGAGGTGAAAGATCCGTAAACTGAGAACTATAAAATATTGATTTAGGGTTTTCTGTGTCCGCTGTCTGGTTCCTCTGTGCTCCAGGTGTTTTTTTCCTGAAGGAAAGCTGCTACTTCCTATGTGTCAGGAATTGGCCCTTCCTATCATCATGAAATGGCAAGGACAGGAGTATTCAGTGACCACACTTTCAGAAAATGGCACCATGCTGGATCCCAAGCAGTTTCTCAAGACCCTCACAGGAGTGCTGCCAGAATGCCAAAAATTACTTGGACTTAAAGTTAAAGGCAAACCTGCAGAAAATGATTTTACACGTGAAGCTCTCAAACTGAAACCAAATACTAAAATGATGATGGGAACTCGTGAGGAGAGCTGGAAAGATGTCTTGGGTCCACCCCCTGACAATGATGATGTTGTCAACGACTTTGATATTGAAAATGAAGCAGTCAAAGTAGAAAATAGGGAAGAAAACCTACTGAAAATTTCTCGCTGAGTGAAAGAATACAAAGTAGAAATTTTGAATCCTCCCAGGGAAGGGAAAAAGCTTTTGGCACTAGATGTTGATTATATATTATTTGACCACAGGTCTTGTGCAAACACTGGAGTAGAATTAACGCAGCCATATCTTCATGAATTCCTAGCATCTGCATATGAGGATTATGACATTGTTATTTGGTCTGCAACAAATATGAAGTGGATTGAAGCTAAAATGAAAGAGTTGAGAGTGAACACAAATGCAAATTACAAGATTACTTTCATTTGGCTGGGCTTGGTGGCTCAGCCTGTAATCCCAGCACTTTGGGAGGCTGAGGTGAGAGGATTGCCTGAGCCCACAGGTTCGAGATCCACCCAGGCAACTTGGCGAGGCCTAGACTCTACAATAAATCAAAAATTAGCCAGGGTGGTAGCATGCACCTGTAGTTTCAGCTACTTGGAAGACTGAGGCGGAAAGATAGCTGGAGCCCAGTGAGTTGAGGCTGCAGTGGCCAGGAGCATGCCACTGCCCTCCAGCTTGGGTGACAGAGTGAGACTCCAACTCAAAAAACCACCGAGCCCGGTCAAAAAAAAAAAAAAGACTTAAACTGTTTTTTAAAAAAATTAAAAATTAATTAATTCCTTAAAAAAAGATTACCTTCATGTTAGACAGTGCTGCCATGATAACAGTGCATATAACAAGGAGAGGACTAATAGATGTAAAGCCTCTTGGTGTTATATGGGGAAAGTTTTTGGGGTTTTACAGCAAAAAAACACTATTATGTTTGATGATATAGGAAGAAATTTTCTAATGAACCCACCCAATAGACTAAAGATAAGGTCTTTTATGAAAGCACACCTAAATCGAGATTAAGACAAAGAACGTTTGAAATTAACTCAATAGCTCAAGGAACTAGCAAAATTAGATGACTTTTTGGAGTTAAATCACAAATATTGGGAAATATCTGTCAAAGAAGCAAGGACAGTAGTTACAAGTTGCACTGGAAGTTACTGAAGATACTTAAGATCCAGAAATGTCTTGCATTTTTGCTAGAAATCATTATGATGATGCTGGACACTGAAGCAAATACCAGATTGTTTGCTCTTGGTCTTCCAGTTTTTTTGTAAATTTAATTTTATATTTTTTGAAGATCATAGCAATTCTTTTCCCCTATATGAATATTCTTTTACTCTTGAAAAATATTTTCTCCAGCATTGATTACTGATTTTTTCCCCCACAAAATGTAGAGAAAAATGTACTAAACAATGTCGTTTTGTGACTTTGGAAACAAGTTACGTCTTATGTTTTTCTCATTAATTGTCTGGCTACATCTAAGACCAAACCCATGTTGAAACTAGAGTTTTTCCTTTTAAAACTTTATTGTTTGACTAAAGAACTAGTTTGTTATGCTTAAAATTACCAATAAGCTTTTATTTCATTGTCATAGGCACAATATCTCTTCTGTACTCCACTAGTTACAGTTCTAAATTCTGAGCAGTCTCAGTTTGGTCTGTATGTTTGTACGTGTTCTTTAAGTAAAACTGGAAAACATCAGTTGTGATACCACTATGTCCTAGTTTAAGAAATAGAAAACATAAGACTGAAGAATAAAACTAAGAAATAGCAATGTGTTTCTTCGGTGGCTAAGTAGAAGCTCTTCTGCCTAAAACCATGTCATAAAAACAGTTAAAGGCAATAACTTTTTTAAAAGGACATATCACTGATTCAACCCTAAAAAGCATGAACAAAACGTTTTTCTTCTGTTCTAGCTTTATCTTGTCTAAGTGCTAACATTGTGTTTCAGTGAAAATATCTAGCCATAAGATTAAAAAAAATTACAGTGCTTAGGCCTGCAGATACGTAATGTGACCACTGTTTTGTGTTGACAGTATTGTTTTATACAGTTCTTGTATTTGAAAGGAATTGATCCTTTTAAGGAAACATGGTGTATATTATTCTTATGGGATTAATTTCAGTGGTGTAAATAATAAATATCTTTTCTTAAAAAAAAATAAAACACTGATTTAAAAAAATAGTAGCTGAAACAAATAAATGAAAATGTAGCCCATGTTCATGGATTGTATGAATGAATGTTGTTTAACTGTCCATACTATGCAAAACAGTCTACAGATTCAGTGCAATTCCTATCAAAATTTAAAATCTCACATTTTATGGAAATAGGAAAAAATTCTTAAAATTTGTGCAGAGCACAACCAGCCAAGCAGTCCTGAGCAAAAAGAACAAAGCTGAAGGCATCACATTACCTGACTTCAGAATCTATTACAAAGCTAAAGTAATCAAAGCAGTACAGTAGTGGCATTAAAAACAGACACATTGACCAATGGATCAAGATAGAGAACCCAGAAATAAACCCACATACTTAAGATCAACTGATTTTTGAAAAAGGTGACAAGAACAAACAATGGAGAAAGAACAGTCTCTTTATTAAGTGGTGCTAGAAAAGCTATCCACATGCAGATGAATGAAAATGGACCCTTATCTTCCAACATATTAAAAAATCAACTCAAAATGGGTTTGGGTTCTTGACATATTCAGGTGTAGGTAGTTAAGAATATCTGGAGCCGGACTGCTAGCTTTAAATCTCAACTCTGCAACTTAGCAACTAGGTTAAGCTGAGCAAGCTCCTTCCTTTCTCTGTGCTTCATTTTGATTTCATAGGGTTGCTGTGAATATTAAGTTAGTTACAAAGAGCCTAGAATAATGGTTAGGATAAAGTAAGTCTTGAATACATGTTAGCTCTCTGAAGCCTCTCCTTTTCTTTCTCCTTGGAGTTTGTGAATAGAAAGACTTTAGCTGGGCTCAGAGGCTCAGTCTATAATCCTGCGCCTTTGGGAGGCTGAGGTGAGTGAATTGCCTGAGCCCACGGGTTCGAGACCCGCCTGGGCAGCGAGACCTCATCTCTACAATAAATCAAAAAATCAGCCGGGCGTGGTAGCACGCGCCTGTAGTTCCAGCTACTCAGAAGCCTGAGGCGGAAGGATCGCCGGAGCCCAGCAGGTCGAGGCTGCGGTGGCTGGAAGCAGCCACTGCACTCCAGTCTGGGTGACAGAGTGAGATTTAAACTCAAAAAAAAAAAAAAAAAGAAAGAGACTTTACAGATATTCTTGGGGTGGGTGGAGGTAGAGTCAGGGTCTCACTCTATCACCTAGGATAGAATGCAGTGGCATGATCACAGCTTACCATAGCCTTGACTTCCTGGGTTCAAGCAATCCTCCCACCTCAGCCTTCCAAGTAGCTGGTACTATAGGTGTGTGCCACCACATGTGGCTAATTTTTTATTTTTACTTTTGTAGAGATGAGTTCTTGCTATGTTGCCTAGGTTGGTCTCAAAATCCTGTGCTCAAGCAATCCTCCCAGCTCAGCTTCCCAAAATACTTGGATTACAGGCATGAGCCACAATGCATGGCCTACAGATATTCTTGTGGAGTCTCTTCCCACAAGATATTATTTTTTCTGAACTAAACTTTCTAATGTCTGCTTTTATAAATGCTGGAATATGTTTATATCTAATGTTTATTTTATTCCTTGGTTGACATGACAAAATGACAATCACTTTCTTTCCCAAATTCCTGTTAGTGAGCATTCTCTGCTTGTGAATCCAATATAAGCCATCCTTGGTGTTTCTTCTGATTTCTAAGCAATGAAACCATCATCCCAGCAATTCATCTTACAGCAGAATGAACTTCCAGCAGATGTCAGAAAATTAAGGATTCTACTGTACCTCAACTTGTCTCTTTGCCAGTGTTTTCAAACTTTCAAATAATAATAATGGGTCTCCTGCTGAAAATGAGAGCAGTTCTATCTGGAAGCAAAAATACCTGCCAGAGACCTAGGTAAATTATTTAAGGACATCAGGTTCATGTTTCTATGTAATTATCTGTCAGCAAGAAAAGAGTGAATGAACACCCATATGCCTTCAGGTACTGGAAAGAAAAGACCAAAATGGAACACAGCTCTGCCTTCAAGGAGCTTCCAATATACAGTGGCACTGAAACTGACCTAGTCTCACTGTTTTAAATATAAATCGTAGTAATATGTCTCTCACATACACATGCCTGATAGGAAGCTCTTTCTTCAGGTTTCACCACATTTCTAAAACACCTAGGTTAGTGACATTCGTCCGTCAGCACTAACAATTGAGGAGTATGGCTTCCACTGAGATTATAATAATGACCCAAGCACATCCCCTTTCACTCCACACAGAAAGCTTAGGGAAGGGTCATCCTGTTAAGATAATAAAAAAATTGACATGAGATTCACAATAAGGGCAACTTGGAGGGGAACAGTACCTAGATAATCTAGAAGGAGTTGGGGTAGTGAATTGGAACTGTTGTTGAAAAGCTGGTCTCTCCCATAAAACAGAAGTAGAAAGAGGAAGGAAGGAAGAGAATGTTCATTTTAGATAAGTGTCATTTCATTAAAGGGAAATGAATGGCAGTAACAAAAACAACCATGTTAAACGTAATCTGCACTGGTTTTTAATAAAAAGAACGGCTTTTAAATTCTCTTCCTAGTCAGATGTGGTGGTGTGTGTCTATAGTCCCAGCTCTTAGGAGGCTGAGGTGGGAGGACAGCTTGAGGCCTGGAGTTCAAGGCTGCAGTGAATTATGATTGTGCCACTACATTCCAGACTAGGTGACAGGGCAAGACCTCATCTTAAAAACAAAAACAAAACTCTGCCTGATGACTTGTTATTTAACCTGGTTTTTCTTTCAGTTAAAACAATAATCTCAATTCTATGAACAGGCAAAATGGGAAAACGTACTTCTAATCATGGGAAATAGTATCTATTCTCTCTCAACCTCTCACCCATCTATGTTAAATTATTTTTAAAATGGATGGTTCCCTTTTTCCCCCAAATGCAAACACAATACAGCATTTTGTTCAAGACTTGCTATATCTCTGGACACCCGGGACTTTTCCCTAAAAATTTTTTTTTTGAGTGGAGGTCTCACTCTGTCACCCAGGCTGGAGTGCAGTGGTACAATCATGGCTTACTGCAGCCTCAACCTCTTGGGCTCAGGTGATCCTTTCACCTCAGCCTCCTGAGTAGCTGGGACTACAGGCATCTGCCACCAGGCTTGGCTAATTTTTTTTATTTTTTATTTTTTGGAGAGATGGAGTCTCACCATGTTGCCCAGACTGGTCTCGAACTCCTGGGCTCAAGCAATTATCCTGCTTCAGTCTCCCAAAGTGCTGTGGTTACATTCGTGAACCACCATGTCTGGCCTCCTCAAAGTTCTTAAAGT